TTTACTCAACATGCCAAAAGACCAGCTGACAATGGGGGGGGGGGACATCCCCTCTCAGGCCCACACATACGTTCCAACAGACTTACATGGATACGAATATAGCACATGCAGTCGCTGACGCGCGTAGACATGACAGATATTCGAGGCACTGTGGAAACACATGCCGGAAACGCTGTAAAGATAGAGCGGCTGTGCACATGTCTTCTCATAACTGCAGGTGGAGCCTCGACAGACGGCCAGTGTGTGGAGCAGCTTACGCGGGGGTGGGGCTGGCTTTTCAGGTTAAGGAAGTCATGACATGCCCCTCCAGCAGGCCCATAAATCAGTCGACTCAACCTCACTAAGGATGGCTCTTGGGAGAGAGAAATGGAGCGCACACACACGCACGCACACGCACACACACATGCACACGCACACAGTATGTTATGTAAACGGCTGTGGCACTTTCCGCCTCAGGTCTGACATGCTACACCTCCCACTATGTGGTCGGGTGCATGTGTTGGTGTGTCTAAGGTGTGAATATTGTGTGATCAAGGAATTTTAATTGTATCTTCAAAATAGCACATCTGGTTTCAACATGATTTAACTGTACACTTCTTGAAAAACACGTGACCTCAGTGCTCGTTGCACCCTCTCTTCCAGAGGGGACTGATGGGGCCCCTATTTCCCGGTGCGACTGTTAAAACGGGTGGACTGTCCTCAGTGGCGCGGCTTGTGGCGATGTTGTCAACCCCCCCCAACCTGTCTTGAAACACGTCTCGTTTATCCATGCTTTGTGAGTGTGACTATTTTGCTGTGTCATCACCATTCATATCTATAAAACCAATGTGTTAATGATTACATTATTTAATGATGCACAGTGTAATATACTCTGTTACATGAAAAAGGTAAGAGTACAATTCCAAATATTACTTGGGGTACCAAAAGTATAGCCTACTTATCATGTGGAAAATAAATAATAACAATAAATAACACATTTATGGTCGGCCTATATATCATTAATGTGTTCATCACTGTGATGATGCAGCTGGTAAAGGTGGAGCTAATATCCTTAATAATTAGGCTATATGCTACTCAATGATACATCAACTTTATTAGTTGATCTATATTTTGTATTAATAATACAAACCTGCATAGCAGCTTATCGAGTGACTAATATTGAAGAATAAATGTAGTGAAGTTAAAAGTGCAATATTTCCCTGTGAGATGTAGTGGACTAGAAGTATAAAAGTACATAAAATGGAAATACTCAAGTGCAAGTACCTCAACATTTGACTTAAAAACAATACTTGAGTAGCCTAAATGTACTTGGTAACATTCCACCACTGCTAGAACAATTGTTTTCAAGAGCTCAAAGTTGTTCAAAAATCTAGCCACTTCATTTTGCTCTCAAAGTGCACCATATTGACCCATTAAACTTTTAAATGTACAAACTTTTCTTCGGGGGGTAGCATGCCCCCCAGACCCCCTTAGAGGTTCTGAGGTCCACCGATCAGAGTCTCATATAAATCCTGCGAGAACAACTGTCATCTCATTCTGGTCTGGAGGCTTTCAACAACGCAGCATGCCTTGACATTCATTTCCTCTGTTGTAGACAATAAACTAAACGGAGGATAAGTAGCCTTGAAAGACTGTCAATAGCTTCTGTACATATTTCACACTTCAGTGAATGGAATGACATCAGCAGCGGAAATAGGACACGCAGACATCTGATTCTTGTGTAACAAGCCTTTTGTTCTCTATAGAAAATGAATAGCCTTCCTGTAGCTCGCAGTGAATTGATGCTCGAACGCAATAATCAATCAGGTTGTTTAACTCGTGAGACTCATAAAATGCAAAATGCAAGGGAGAGAGCGGAGGAATGTGAAAAGTCTTTAATAAATCACTATACGAGTGCAGACTGACCTCATACTTGCTACTCAGAAGCTTATACAGGAAGCACCTGTGTCTTCTGCTGCATCACTGGACAAGTTGAGCTAATCAACCTTTAGGTTCGGAAGAACAATCTTTGCATTGAAAAGACTTCTAGTAACCTACAGCAGTAATGCCATGAATAATATAGAGGTGAAATACCATTTATACACTCCATCACTGCGATTCCTAAATCAAACTTTACAAACTAAATCCCCACAATTTCCCCTGGATAAGTATCTGTAAATGAAAGGGTTATGGAACATTGTCAATCCATGGAATCAGCTTAATCACAATATTGCTTTACAGAGTACCTACTGTCTGGTCCTCCAATCTCTGCTAAGTGCAATGCAAAACCACAAGTGATTACTCAGCAAAACATACTAATCTGAGGGGTCCACTTCCAGGAGGTTACGACATACAAACGGCTCTGTATGTGAACATGGAATATGAGCTTCAAACGGAGATTTCACAAGTTAATATGCAAGATCCATATCAAGGCCTCTTATGTAGGAAATTATAAATATCCGTCGTAGTAGTATTCAATTACTGAGATTGATCTGGAAATAAAAATTAAAAAAAACGTAATTGGCACAGCGGTGTGTGCAAGTGTGTCTGTTAAGTGAGATCCAAGTCGACAGCAGCTCAAAGTAAATCTTGTGCTGAAACCTGAAAAGGTAAAGGTCGTCGGTGAAGACAAACCAAAAACATCAGGCCGTCTGATTCATTTTCACTCTACTTCTTAGAAATAATTGGAAACACTTCTCATGAGAAACTATCTGTTACACACCTTTGAATTGTACAAGTTGAGACAGCTACAGCCCATTTTATGGGAGGTAGACTCACCGTTTCATAGACGATGTGAATTTGGCTGGTGGCAAATTAAAACCTTGCTCTGACAACCATAAATAGAAAAAGTGTCTGTTGTTTTGGCTTGTTTGGTTAGTTTTATGTCCATCTGCACTCGTCTGTGAAAGCAAAGCACCGGGAAGAGACGAAGAAGGGAGGCTGTTTGAAGCTACGGCTATCTACAGCAGTCTGAAGGAAACAGTGCAGGTTGTCATTGAGAACAAACACACTGTCTTGCTTGGTGAGTGAAATAGATGAGAGAGGAGAGAGGAGAGAGGGAGAGAGAGAGAGAGAGACGGTTCCTCTCTCTCCTTTTTGGCCAACTAAACTGAGTGTGCAGTTCTGCCTGACCAACATGCTGCCAGAATGAGGGATGCAGCAATTACTCTACATCCACATCAGTATACTGACCGTATTGGTGCAAGTGTCTGGCCTTGCACAGCGAGAGAATGTGAAAGAGCAGCGCCTTGACCCTCATTACATCATTGAGGTACCCTTGGGCAAGGCACTTAACCCTCAACTGCACCGGTGGGGCTGAACTGGGCAGCATCCAAGTGTGAGTGTGTGTATTTGGAGGAAGGTGTTGCTGAAAAAGAGCATTCATGCTCTGTATGTCTGGCCTGGATACATAACTAAATAATGAACCAGTGAAACATAATATTTGGGTTTTTAATGCAGTTACCCAGAATTATACTTTTAGATTTTCCCCTGATCCTTATTATGTAATATGGGGGCTATGAGCATGATTAATATTACATTATAACTCACAGACATCAATATGGCCTGTTTGTGCTACTTCCACACAATTGATAGAATTATTCTTTAGACGTGTCTGCAGGTGAACATATCAAATAATGTTAAATGTACCCTCTGCCTCCCTATGTGTCAGCCCATTTGAATTAAATGCATTATTTTGTGCTTGTGAAAACAGTCATCGGCGGAACAAGTCCATGAACGAGTATGGATATTAAAAGGATGACAGTAGAGCTAAAGGAATCCACTCACGTCTTTATTTAAAGCGACACCCCGCCGGCTCAGTCAAAACAGCAGACAAAAAGTTGCGATCAATAGATATGATGGATAGAAGCAGGGAGCTTGAAAACAACACCACTTCAGGATTCAAAGACAGAAGCATCCAGAAGCTAAAAACAAAACTCCAGACAGACAATTGGTGCCAGCAGAGTTTAGCTCGTCAATAAGAGTCAAAATGAAAAACTGTGTCAAGTTGAAGTTAAAAAGCAGCGGAAAAAAACAACCTGGAATCAGTTCAAGATTCAAGGAGTACCACAAAAGCCTTGCTCAGATTTCTTTTTTTTCTTAAAAGCTTCCTCCACCTGAGCGAGGCGATAAATCTTGAGTTTTTGTACTCAGCTGAGGCGTTCACCGGGTCAGAGGTCAAAACAGTACGACGGATGAAAACAAGAGATTGTCTCGAGGCCCATTAAAAGAAAATTGCCAATGAGGGACAGAGACATGTCCTGCCTTCGTGGGAGCAATGGAAGTGAGTGTGTGTGCGCGTGTCTATAAGAGTACAGTATCACATGCGGGGGGGTTAGAGGTACCTGCATATAGATGATATGACTGTCACTTCATCAAGGTAAACATCCATTTGAGGTCTGACCGTCATTAAAACGTTGTTTTGTAACATTCCTTTCTTTGGTCCTAAAGTCTGTTTAGGAAAGAACAGCGGCGGCCACATGTTTTGTTTTCTACACATTGTTCATCATTTCTCCTCTCTTTCTGCACATTCTTTGTCGCTGCTGGGCAGAGTGAGTGTGCGCTGTGACAAAGCTGTGGAGAATGTGGTTCAGCTGAATTCTTCTGTTAACACATAGCTATTGTTGTCCCTTCCTGGAAATCCCAGCAAGTGGCCGTCTCAACATGGACACTGTTCAGCAGGAGGAAAACATATAAAGAAAAACGACTCTCTCTTCATTGGACCCCTGAGGTGTGTTGTTTTTTTGTGACATCTTTCATGTCACACGGGTCATTTTTGCTCTGCTGCACCTGTCATGTAAATCGGCATAAGGCCATCTAAGCCTGTTCATTAATAAACATATGGCCATATGACGCCGCATACTAATTAATGCTCCACTGGGATAAACAATATGAAATCATAGAGCCAAGACACAAATCCAGTTCTTGTCCCTTAACCTGCAATCACTGAAGGTGTGAAGGTTGGACGGAGGCAGCTGGGTGACACGGAAATCGAGCAATTAGAAAAATGAGAACCGATCTACCTGCCATCATCTTCTGGGCCTCATAAGGCTCCATGTAGCCATCGTTCTCCGTCGTCACCTTTTCCGTACTGGTCTGAGTTCCGCCGGCCTGCTCGGCATCGAACGGGTTGGCGTAGTCTTCAACGATGATGGGCTGCACAAGAAAAGTAAAAAAGTTACACATCAAGAAGGGAATTCATTTTGCTACTCTGTTAAAACAACACAACATGGGTAGGAGTCAGGAGAGACAGCAAAACAGATACTGCTGAGGCCCAGGACAGGACAGGACCAAGTGATCGAGGTAGGGCCGGAACATTAAGGGAAAAACGCATACATAAATAACAACCCCCCCCCCCCCACAATGCTTCAGCTTTTAGCCTTACAGCACGCTCTCTGCTACTGCTGGTCAGCCTAATTATACGACAGGCCTACATTTTTCAAAAGAAGAGGAAAGAGGACCACAACTGCTCAACTTTCTGAGGAGAAACAATTTGGTAGATTTATGCCGAGCTGGCAGTGAGCCACGGCTAATTGCAGTCTTTGCTCTTTTCGCTGAGCATTTTGTGCAGTAGATGGCAATTAGGTGAATGTCCCGGGACCCAGAAACACAGCTCAAACCCTTAGGGAGCGGAGCAGCTATTGTCCGCATCTATAGATCTATAGTGCCCTGGGGGAGGATATTTGTTTCCTTAAAAATGTTTGCTTCATCTATAAGGAGACCGCTTCAGAAGCAGAGATCCACCCTTTGAAAGGAAAGAGGCGACCGTCTGAGCCGTCCGTCTTCTTGGACATTGGATAATGGGGGAGAGGGTGTGACTGGGGGGGGGGGGGGACTATTTCTCTGTTGTGGCTCCAGACAGTCTAGTCCTGCCAATCAGTGGTCAGAGGAGAAGGGCACCGGCCGCTTGTTCCGTTACTTGGAAAGATTTGAGTCAAGGGCTTCACAACAAATAAGGAAACGCTCATGCATGCACCTAAGCGAGCATGTAATCGCGCACATGACTGGCACTACACCCTATGAGTCATGTGTGAGAGGAAGGGATTTGGTCTCATTATGAACAAGCTCATCACTCATCTGGTGGACGGGGTCGGGTGGGGCAGACAGGCGTTGGACCGAGCCTCGTGCCCGCCACGCCGTGCCTCCAACCTAGCCCGCTTCCCTGAGACCCAACCACTGTCCGTCCGTCTTTGCCACAGAGGGAGCTTCCCAAAAGGATTTGCTTCCCAGAAGCAAACCCCCATATGCAGGCCACCCGTGAGAGTGCCACACACACACACACACACACACACACACACACACACACACACACACACACACACACACACACCTGCCAACCCTCAGGGAAGCAAGTAAAATGTACAGATATACCTTTCCAACTCTGGGATTTCTCTTCGGCTGGGAAAGCACCGGCATTTTTCCAGTACTGATGGAGGTCAAGTATCATTTAACGTACTCAAAAAAAAAAAAAAGTAGTTCCAGGTGTTATATGCTAGAAAGTTCAGCAGGGATAATTTGTAAGCCGCTTAGCGACATAGCAATGCTGGCACAAATCATCTCCACTATACATGGATTAGTGATAATAGCAAGGGAAGAGAGTACCACGGATGTTTTTCATAGCAGCTACTGTGTGCTGAATCCACCTTCTTCAATGTGCTCTCTCCATCTGTTTTGGGGAAAATAACTAGGACTTTTGTTTCTGCCACAGCATAATTATGGGTTCCTCAAATGTTTTGCTTCTGTGAATTCAAGCAGGGGGGGGGGGGGGGAGAAAATCCAACGCAAACATTTTCCTGGTTTGTTTTTGTGCCGCAGAAAGATACATAATTCACTCACAACTCAGATCAGCAACATCTTTGCTGCCCCAGAGACCCACCACATTATCATGCACTACAGCCACAGTGTCACTATTACCATCTCACACCCTGTTGCATAGAAACTCAGCCGTCAGTCACCAGAGCGTGTGCCAAACCCACTTCAGATACAGTCAGTGCAAACACAGCCCGAACCTAAGAATAAGTAACCCTGACTAAAGAAACATATGAATTACCTAAACGGGGAGGGATGAAGGCCAGTGCCCATTTGACTGCAGTCCACATACTGTAGCGGAGTGGCTCGAGGTTTGAGACCGTAGCCCACAAATGTGATGAAACACTCCGAATGCTGCATCTTACATTCCCTCCAGCAGCTTAAGATGACAGCAGCAGCTTACATATTTTCCCGCAGTGAGATTTAGCCGGTTAGGTTTTAGCAGAGCTCACACCTTAGATCTCTACATGCACCTTCATGAGCCAAAGGAGGGAAATAATGCCCCTTACGGAGTTGTGTGTGGAGCCACTCCAAACACATTACGTCATAGTTTTCCTTTCCTGTTGACATAATGTAGGACAAATAATAGGGCAGGGTGTGAGGTGAAACTTTCTGATCGCATCAGACAGAGTGATGCAATCACGGACAAAGACTCAAACGCTCCACTTTTAGTTTTGATATGCAACAGCTCTGCTATCCACAAGTGGTTTGTATTCATGGCTTGGGGAATATTAGTTTGGTAATGTCTGAAGTAGCATGGTACTAGAGGGCAGATGAGGTGAAACACCTCACTTGAACTCTAATGTATGTGCATTTGTGCCGTCACAAACAATCAAAATCAGGCTGATATCTTAATTATGGTCGGTGTATGCAGAACAAGGTTGCAAAGGCTTGTCATCCAACAGCTACACTAAAACAGGATTTACATTGTACAGGCATGCGTGTATTTGGCTCAGAGTTGGGCAGTAAAAGCTCTTTACAGCACCTGGCTCATGTTCTTATTCCATTTTTGAATAAAAATGAAACAAAAAGAAGTTCTTCTTCTTGCTTTTTCACTTTCATTTAGAATTATTGGGAAATTGTGTTGCGAAATAGCTCAGCATTGCAGTAATACAGGTGACTAACAGGAGCTGTTTGTTTGCGAGGTGTCTTTTCATGAAGGGGGAATTTCTCCGCTGCACGGTCATTATCGGCTCCACCCTGTGTGTCACATTCATACATTCGCAAAGCTGTAATGTTTACACTTACAACATTCTACTGTTACCCATTAGCAGGCAGAGGTGTAATTAATTTCAGCTTACACAGATCCTCCCTGAGCATCCGGGGAGTTGAACCATCACCTAGATAAACAGACACCATCACCCACCCCCTGCAGCCTAGTTCATGTTTGGGGTGGAGGAGGTGGTTAATATTTCCAATTTGCCCCAATGTGTCCTTCCTGTCCCACTGTACTAATGACTACCAGACAGCAGGAGGGGTGCTAGAGAGCGGCAGCGTCGCCTGGGGACACGCCATCTGCCTTGTGGCAAACCAGGGTGTGTCAGGACTGCAGTCAAGCCAGCCAAAATCCCCCCTCAGCACAAGACTGCCTCAATACATCAGGTCTTTGCTAAGCCACGCTGTAAGCCCATATGAATCTCTCAAAGCCACCTCAGAGGCTTAGGCCATGTACCCGTGGAAGCTAGGTCCTTTACTGCTGTGCAGCATAGAGAGAGGGAGAGGGAGAGAGAGAGAGGGAGAGGGACAGAGACAGAGACAGAGAGAGAGAGAGAGAAACACTCAATTACTTTCATTCCAGCTCAGATCCCAGGCTGGCCGTGTCTTACACCTGACAGAGCTCTGGCACCTCGCAGGCGAAGAGAGCAACTTCTTGAAATGCACCGCAGCTCTCGGGCAATGAAGCCGTCTTGAAATCAGTGGGAACAGAGGGGACGCGTTAGCGGAGGCTGGCAGACTATAACAGGCACCTGCCTCTTCGGCTCAATGCCGGACGATGATGCCGGAGCCTTGAAGGATTGCAATTCGATCGGGCCTCAGACTTCCATTAGAAGTGAGAAAATACCGGCCACACTTCTCCTCCTGCACTCTTAATGGAGAGTAAATCAGATAATCAGAAATAATAACAAATTCAGAATCTTTCATAGTTGAAATTTTGTGGAAATTTGGGAGTAATAACAATAATAATACGAAAATAGGCTGCAACATTTCACTTTGTCTGCCTTGTGAGCGAGCCACATGTCCGGTGTTGGCACCATACACAACCAGAAGAAAATGCAATGCAACAACCAGGCGATTATCAGATAAACACCTTTAGACATATGAAAATAAAGACGGATCTCACTCCGGCTAAATGAGTGCAGGCAGGAATATGATATTAATGTCATGGCTTGTCCAGGAAGGATTGAACGCGTCTCAAGCTAGTCAAGGTTGAAGCCCCCCTGAGACCTGCCAGAAATGTCAGCATGCTGCAGAACGAGAGAGGGGGGGGGGGGAACGGAAAGAAAGAGGGCTGACGTGTGTGATTTATGTCTCACGCCACGAGGGATTTCAGCCACTGATAACCTAATACAACTCAGTGCTTAGCAGCTCAATTGCATTAAGGCATTTCAAAAGGCTTTTGTTTTCTTTGCTGCTATTGCTCTTTTGTTCTTCAGTGTAGCAAAAAAGAAAGCATGCCACTATTGGGAGGACAGAAAGCCACTTTAGAGAAGAGGGGTGAGAGTTGACACAAAGATAAGGAGACACTGTTTTTGTTCTATCTTTGAGCTGCCATGCATAAAGTATGTTTCCTCCTCTGTTCAAATGTTCATCTAAAACCCCCAAAACTCAGCAAGCTGAGCATCATGGCAGTGCCTCTGCTGATAGCTCTTCCTCTTTATCTGCGCCTGTAAACATAGGATGAATGTCGTGTGTGCAGTGTGCAGTCATCCTAACAGAACTTGGCAACAGCATTTCTAGAAAGAACATACTGGCAAGAAACACTCCCTCAAGGCAATTTATTAAAGCAAGCACGATCACAGCTTCTCTGTTGATATAATGCAGTTACTATCAATGAGATACTTTCATGTTTTCGAAGAAGAGAGAGCGCAAATCTGGTTACAATTCATCGGAGCCCCCTTGTGAAGACGGAGCCCTGCTGGGCTCTACCAAACAGATTAGGCAGACGGAAAATTGGCTTCGCCTCTAAAAGGAGAGACATTTCCCACCATACAGACCTGACATTAATGAAACTTTATTGAAATGTTTCCAGAGAAACACGGCTGCTGCTTGAGCTCCTGGAAGAGTGATGTGCCTCCTCTAAAGGCCTGCTTAGGAGTCTGCAGAGGCCGCTAATCAAATTACTATAT